TCGTATGAATATTTAAAGCGCCTTGGAGCTAAGACTTTAAAAACGCTTTACATTAGCTTTAAGATGGTGAGGTATGTGAAATAAACTCCGCTGCTTCTAGAAGACGGTCGCCGCGGCAGCACAGTCGAGATGCTTATCCTGAATTGTGAGATAATCCTGGTCGGGTCGCAGAATCCTTGCCGTAGAAAGGATTATGGCGAGGCAATAGTAGTTATAGTATGGTTGTTAAGTAGAATGTTTTCGATGTCCAGCATTTCTTTGTAATTTTAGGGCATATAAAATTGTATAGTTCCGTCAAAAGCTTGTTCAATAATGTCGCGACCAGGGTCGCGTCCGAGTTTTATGCAGGCGACGCTTAAACATGTTAGGAAGATATCGTTTACACATTTTTGCAGCAACTGTCGCGATTGAGGAGACGTGTCCGTGCCAGATCAAGTCCTTGGCGATCTTTACTCCGACCATCGAAATTAACGGCTCTTTTGTAGAACTCGACCAACCAACGTGAAATAAGGATAAAGTTACGCGAGACTATACCGTGTAGCGGACATCCACTGTGAAAAGTGAGCGAAGATATATATGTTGCCTGGCACAACCTCCGGGCTCATTGTCAGCGGCTGTTTGAGGAGGTAACTACCTGCGTAGAATCTTTAGTTACGACGGATAACTTTACGGAGACGGACTTTATAGACTTATATCTGTTAATCAAGTATCGGGACTGCTTCTTTATACTACGAGAAAATAAATTGTTGCTTTGTAGTAACTAATAGGTTGTCATTCCACCCTCGTCCACTACAGTTAATAAGAATTCACGATTTAAACAATGGGAGGGTTACACTACTCTCCTCATTTTTATGGAATTTTAACCTCTTCAACGTGAGAAGGCATTGAGGAAAACCACCATCTGCACTCCTCCAGCTTTGTAGCTGTCTTGTAGCCGATTTCAATAAGAAACCATCCCTTTCTCTCAAGACTGTATGACTGTACCAGATTGTTGCGTGAAAGAAAGTCGCTGCTAGTCTGCTCCTCTCCAGCTCACCTGCAGAGATAGGCTTGGCAATTTCTGTATGGGCAGTGCTGTCATGCTGATATGGAATAAAAACGATTTCGGAGCCAAGACCGATCCCTGAGGAATGCTCGCGTTGACAGTGCGGGATGAATATGTAGGAAGTCAGCTACCGATCTCTAGGACGCCATAGAATGGAAGTCTGCGTAATGCCACATCTGATCGAAAGCTTTCGTGATATGAGCAACGAGATGAGTCTCGCTATTTGAGTAAATTAATTTACTCCATTGAGGAACAAACTCTATTGGCATGTCTGTCACAGATAAACTGGGTTACCGTCTCTTGACCCATACCAAGAATCCTCCAGTCTTATGAGCAGCAGTCTGGGCTAGATTTTATCCTAGGTTCTTTCTGATATCATATGGATTGAGGAGGTTAGGTTATGAAAACTACTTCCTAGATTTAATCAGATGACCCAGCTTCTCAGTAGCAACTGCAACGACTAGAAGTGTGTATGCCAAATCATATGATCAGTAGTCTTTACCATGATCAGCTAGAATCAATAGGTTTCTTACTATGTTAAATGCAATGCTCTAGATTGGATATATGTATTACCTGGATATATCTGCAGGAAAAGGCGACAGAAAACTAACCCTGGAGGTACCCCGATTGACATTGTAGATTTAAAAAAGTCCATCAGTCAGTGTAAAATATAATTATGGGGAATCCACCTTACTTACTCGACATGTTTCTTTTCTCCTCGATTTTTCCTCTGGAGGTTGGTGTCGCTTTACTGTTCAATTATTACTCATCTCGGCTTTCTGTCCAAACATTTCTGAACGTTTCTAACTCTTTTGTGTTAAGTATATTTTCTTGTTTCCCATCCTTTTCGATCCTTCTTTTGATACTTCCCTAACAGTTCCCTTTCTTCAGACTAGCTTGGTCATTTTGTAGACATTTGCGATTCTAATCATACATCTCGCACATCCACTTTTTTTACTGGTATGGCACCTAATCTTCTTCCCACTCACATTTCTTACTTTATCCGTTAGCTTTACACCAACAGTGGATCCCGTTTTCTTGATATTTTATGTTTACTCAATATCCACAGTTTAACCACAGGGTATGAATATACAATGAGATGAACATTCTAATTTTTATTATTGCATTTCTTTTGTAACGTCGTTCAACTGGAAATGTCACGAACTTGTCTACTAGACTAGGAGAATTACTGTGGCCAAGCAAGACGTTCCGTTCAGCAGAAGCGACCTATATATCGCCAAGGATAAAATCGGAAAAGAGTACCGATGAGTTGTAACTTTAGCCGGATTTATATAGCTGGCTGCAGGAATAGCCGTATGGAGTTAACTTACTGGAGGCGATCTATATTTCTTTACAAAATAGAGACGTTTGCTGGAGCGTTCAGGGAAAAGCTACTTGTCGATGATCTCTATAGAGAGCTCTTACTACGAGGATTATAAATACTATAGCAGGGAGTGGGATACTAACAAACCAGGTTTGATAAACAGAAATTGATACATTTCTAAAGCACTATAACATAGTGATCGATTTGATATGAGCATATTCATGATCCTAATGATACTCCTCGAGTGTACTCAGAACGTCGTCGTTGTCCTCAATGTTTCTTTCTATCAGAGCTGCATAGGTCTGTTTATATCATGCAAAAGCCATCTGTTTCAACACAGTTGAAGACCTAGACAGCCCCAAATGTCGCAAATTTAGGAAGACAGAAAACTCGTGTTTTTGAATCAAAGAGTTGCAACTTCAAGCAGTAATTACAACCAAAACATGTCATAGGTAGTACTTAAAATTCCTTACCATATGAATAGTGAGTATTTTTCTTTTTTACGTTTCGGTACTGGCTCGCGGCAAATTAGCTTTGGTATTGCAAACGTAGTATACTCAGAAAAGGAAAGCCCTAACTTTCAGGAGACCCGGTATATGTTTATCGGATTGGCTCCTTGGAATTGTCTTTGTTCTGAAGTTAGGGACGTGAAAGAATCTGACACAAACACATTTTCTTTGAAATCGAGTGACAATGTTTAGACAGGGCACTTCTTGTAACTATGGGCTTAAAGCATAAAACCATCTAAGCGGAAACTGAAGCAATTTTGATCTTCAAGTAGTCACAAAAACAAACTTTCCACCAGTGTCGTTAGATAAGCAGGACCTTGTGCCTCGTAATGTGCACTTCAGCGAAGTTTTCTTTAGAAGTTCGCTAGAGTGCAAAAGAGACGGAGATACGAGGAACAGCATCTCAACTCTGTCTCAAGAACATCCGGCGCTAACTTAATACCGCTAATCTCTGAGGGAAAAACATCTCAGCACTGTTGATTAATAATTCAGCAAAGTTGCCTCAAACTTGTTGATTTTCATATCGAGTGAAGGAGTTGGCTTTACTCTCGGCAAAATTGGATTTCGGCACTGCCGGATTAAATTGTGTTCATTATTTAGCAGACAGGAAATCCGGAAGCTGCTATGCTGTATCCTTTACCTTCCTTGAACATTCGTGCCATCGCAATTTAGCTCAAACCGAGTTTTATGAATTATTCCTTCTAATTTCCACACAAGGCAAATGTTTAATGTAGATAATAGGCCAAACTCCATTAATGGTAATCCCGACATCTCTACTCTCATTAGCAATGGCTGCAATGGGTTACTTGACTCATATCTAGTTTCATAGAATAAATAGATATTTCTTACAGTATTTGCCTTAGAAAAACGAAATATATTTATCTCAATTATCAAATGCGCCAGAAGGATATATAAGCTTTATTGAAGACCTCGGTGCAAAAACCAGGTAAGTCATTACATTATAAAAAGTTTTGGGAAATTAAAAAACTGGAAATCATGTTTTAAAAGTATGGAAAAGAAAACCATTTTATTTTTTGGTATAGAGAAGGTAATAAAAGACTTAATATGAAGTAACAAATGATCCAATTTTTATTTTTTTTTTTTGATAAAAATTTGGACTTCCCTGCTTTTTGCCCCGAATTAATGGTAAAGTAATGGAAAAATTAGTTCAAACATTTTTAATGGTCAAAGAGAACAAAATCAATACAACTTAGAAAGAGGTAACAAAAATAAATCTTCAATTACATAAATGATAAATCGGAGTCATAAGCATCATCACCTGTACGAACTACTTCTTGTGGAACTTCAAGATATTCGAATTCTCCGATGGGCTTACGGTAATACTACAACTCAGCGGCAGGTACGCATTTTGCTGATAAAAGTTTAACAGCATCAGCCTTTTTTCACTGAGCGGCGAAGGATAGGGTTATTTCATATGTGAACTTGGAAAGCACAATAACACATTTTCTTTTACAATATAAAACCTTGTAAAAACTGGGATAGATGATGCAATACTGCATTCTACATATTTGAAACTTTTCAAATGAAGATTTTTGTTTTCCGTCTCCTGTAAACTTGACCAACCGCAGACAGCGCTGTTTCGTTTTTACCTACTTACGCACAATGGTCCATTTTTTTCCATTTCTAAAATTGTCACATTTATGTTAGAATATAGTACTCACGCTTTTTTGTTCCTATACAGTATATTGCGGCAACAGATTGAACGGTTTTGTAGCATTCCCAGATCGCGCGAAGCACCTTGTAAAACCATGTACCAGACATGTCACCCTCGGCCATCGTCCTAAAAACGCTAATCGCCCTCAGATAATGCGAGAACAACCCAGCCAGAACTATTGTCGCGACTTACCGGTTAACCACTATGCAATCTTAGACTGCTCGTGCTGCCTCTACATTGTTCATGGATCTGAAATGCAGGGAATGGAAATTATGTTATTTGTCTTGTGAGGAAATAATGTGAGCAGCTTCGACTTGAGCGAAGTAAAACGTCTGCACATTTGATATTCAAAGATTAGAAGTACTCATACATATACATATAATAACTAATGATAGAAATATATCTAAGATTGATAATATGATATATATATATATATATAGATACTAGAGATTTTCTAAATTGTTCAAACACTTGTACCTCGTGCAACTCTCATTCTGCTTTCTGAAGACAAGACTCCATTTTCGGTCAAGTAGGGCAGAACAAAACGGGAGCAAACCTTTATGAGATTTCGAGAACATTCTCGTACTGTTTAGTGTGTAATCGTAATCCTCCAAATAAGTTCTAATTTGTAGTCAGCCCCTTTCACTGCAAAAAGTAACCCAAATTAACAACGAGGGAAAACCCTCTACTCAGGTTTATCTCGTTTTGCAAGAGCACCAAAGGCACAAGACAAGATGACTGTTTAATTTGGATAATGAGGAAAATTCATAATAATTACACCTACGTCTGTACTGTGTGTAAAATGCGTTTGTTGAGTTTAACGCTGTCTTTCTCTGCATGATGATAGAAATTGTCAGAGGCGTACTCGGAAAAGATAATTTGAGATTAACATCCTAGGCTCGCAGAATAGAAAACTAAACAATTGTCAAAAAGTAACCTTTAAAGAAGGTTGACGTTATGTTGGTAAATGCTAAATTTGGCATGTAGACGTAGTAGATAAAACGGATTCAAGATGGCTGATCTGGATATCCGGAATTTCTCTAATATATCAACATCAGCATGTTTTCAGTCCTGTTATTGCCAATGACATCATACATGTTATCAGCAACTTACCTAATGAGAAAGGTACTGGACCCGATGAGGTTCTTGTTCACTGATTAAACTTAATGCTGATATTATTGCACCAATACTTGCTGAGCTTATCAGTGTTTCGGTAATCAAAGGTACCTTTCGATTTGCATCCTTTAGACTTAGAAAGCTACAGGCCAATAGCAATCAAAATTGAGTGTTACTTAAACACTAAAAGTTTTGACAAACCGTCAGTTTAATTTTCGAGCTGAATTTTCAACAGCACTAGCAACCACCGAATATGTTCAGCATATACACACTTGACAGTGTCGATAGTCGTATGCTCGTAACAGCAATGCTTTTCCATCCCACAAGAGCATTCGATACTGTTTCTCAAACATTTGTTACTGATAAGCTCAATCGGATTTGAACTCGAGGTCGTGTTATTTCATGGAAAAGAGGAATTTTTTCGCAAAAGTTGATGATACAAAATCTACTGAATTTGACATCGATTGCGCCTCAGGGCCATGTTTTAGGACCTTTGATATTTTTATTGTTTGTTAATTACCTTTCAATGTTGTATATCATCATATACGCTTATGACACCTCTACAATTGTATCTGCTGACTTAGCCTTAAGCAAAAACAAAATTGTGATAAAGGAATTTGATGACGTGTGCTATAAAAACCGCCTGACCTTAAACGGATAAAACCATCCATGTCAATTAAATTCTTAGGTTTTATTTTAGACTGGCATCTGTAACGGAAGGAAAATGCCAATTCAATATATTGGTAAATGTTATTTTATAATAAATTGTCTAAAAAATACCTTAGATGCAAAAGGCTTGATGAATATTTATTATACGTTAGGATAATCTGCTATTTCATATTGTAATTGTCTTTCGAGGGCAGGCTAAAGACGTCCAACGTGTTTTTGTCTTCCAAAAAAGGCTCGTCCGTTTGATTTTTAAAATTCACTATCAGTCATCTTGAAGGGAAATATTCAAACGTTATCGTATTTTTACTGTGCCATCTACATATATTTTCAAACTACTAGAGTACTTTTCCTAAATAAAGACAGATTTAAAAGACATTCCGATACCCATAATTATAATTCACGTAACAAAGACAATTTTATTGACAGTCAATTTTATGACATGCACTAAAAAGTATCTAAACTAAAATAGATCAGATTCTACTGAAATATGTTGAAATGTAGCATTTCGGAAACACGCGTCATTTTATTAAATACAAAAAACGCCATAGACTATAGACAGACGTTTGTTCTCAGATGCTAAAATGGCGGGTTACCTATCATTGTGAGATCAAAGTCACAGAATAGCCATACCAGAAGGTTTACTAGAGAAAAATGAAAAAAAAACTCTGAATTTAGTTTTTAATGATACTTTTTGGTTTATTGAATTGCTCATGAACAACAAGTGATCCACAATAAGTTAATATGTGAATAAACGAATAAGTGAAAGTTATCGTAATGTGAAGACAACTGTTTTTTGTCACTTCTTATTTCATTTTGTTGACGAATGGATGAAGAAATACTCCCGATACCTCCTCGTCTTAAACATTTTTTTGAGTAGCATAACCTATAATTGCGATAATCTTCATTTATTACTTACTCCCGGGTTTGCAGATATTTGCGGCTAAAATTCTTCAGTCACGTTTTTGAGGAGCTAAGGTTCCGTTGGAGAAAAAATCTACCGGGGGCTACTGAGGGAGGCACCTTTCTTCCTTAAAAATCGCGCGAATATTCCACTTTTTCTTTCAAATATCATTACTTCAAACCTAAAGCATACGAACCTTTAATGGGCTTTATCGCGGTATACCAAGTCTCATAGTAGTGATATACAGGGTGTTAGTTAAGTAGCTACTATAACTTTAGCAGACAATTTTTTGAGTAATTTTGAGGGTAAAAGTTCATGTAAACATGGTTAGAAGCCGAAGTGGGTCATTTCCAACGCTTAATATAGCGAAACTTGTTAAACTAGATGTTAATGTTATTTAGCAGTTTTTGTTGGTACATAATTAGTAATAAAAATTATTAAAAAATGATGCTCCGAAAGAAACTTTTCCTCATATTCCTTGTGTTGTCGAGGGAATCCCGCTCGAGACGCCTCTAAACTTAATAAATTCAATCAAGTTAGGGCTTGATTGGCTCCTTACTGTTATAAATACCTCCGCCAAATCACAATAAAATTACCTAAATGATATTTAATAAATTTACGAAAAACCACTTTTTTGTAAATTTAACACCCTGTATCTTGAGAACGAAGAATTTGCGGACCTACATATGTTTATATGAACTTTTGTCTTAAAATTACTCAAAGAACCTTCTGTTAAATTTATGATACACACTTATCTGACACCCTGTATAAAAAGCACTCATTGCTCGCTCACTGTGCGCCGTGGTAAACCGACGACTCTACCAATGGGGCTAAACTAATTTGTATGATGTATCAGGCACAATAAATGAACAATAATACATAATGCACATTGTTATGTTGTTGCTACGTAATTCCCTGGTCATTTGGACTGAATTGTGCCAGTGCTAAGTATAGCCTCATCACTTATTTGGGTATAGTCCCACACGTCACTATTTCCATACATGTTTATTTTATTATGGGCATTATCAATGGGCTTCAATCGCAAACATAGATATCTGATGAATGAACAGTTAAAACTACATAGATTCCGATAACTTCAAATGTTCTGAGAAATGCAAATAATTTATAATTTTACAGCTAAGCAATTTTGCGAAACGGTAGGATATCAACTTTTTTTTTCGAAAACTGTAATGGAACTGCACAAAATGGAGTCAAGTAAGTTGACCCGGTAGTTTCCATACATCAGCGCCTATATTAATATGTACACTTTTCTCATAAATGACTCTTAATACACGTATGATCGAAATTTCTTTACACTAAAAGTGATCAAATATGGCTCAACAGCATTTTTGGTTGGTACTCGCAAGGGCGTACCCACCTCAAAATGAAAGGGGGGTAGCTTGCAAATGGAACACCGTACACCTGTTAGAATATTCGAATATGCCACTTCAAAGACAGAAGTTTTGATACCGCCGGGAATATAGGTATTATAATAATTTCGAAAATAATTCCTCTTTATCGATATATATTCCTTGTTTTTCTACAACTGCTTGAAATTTCGTCATACAGCCAAAATAGTTTTATAGAGTTTGTAGCAGGATATGTGCCTAGTTTGTTCCAGATTGATTTAAAAAACAAATTTGTCCTATTTTGACAATTGTTATCTCCGAAACAGTAAAGAGATACGGGTCGATTGGGTGGTGGCAAAGTTGGGTATTTATATACTTCAGAAAATGCATTTGAAAAGATTTGACGCTTCCGGCATCTCTAGAAATACACTGAAACTCAAGATCGTTTCCAAACTTTCCTGAATCCTTTGATTTCAAAATAAGTAGCAGATTGACATTGCCACTTTTGATCTCTGCAAGGTAGCATAAATAGAACATTTATATGACCTTTCGTCTGTTAGCCCCAGTCTCAACTTTGATTCTTCTCATGTATGCAGTTCTTGCACAGGCGGATAGCTTCTAATTCTGATTTCAAACATTATAGCACGTCATACGTTATTATAAAAGAAATCTTGAAATTATCATATAGTCATTAAATTCATAGAATATCAAAGATGACATGTTACGCATTGCTATAAGACCTCAAGTGTCTAATTTAATATAGTTGGCTAAGCTCATTGAATAAGGAAGAGCATAACGTAACTCATTTATACTATTTAAAGGTAATACTGAAGGACATCGAAAATGGTATAATTAAAAAACGAAAGATCGAAATTAAAATACTTTGCACTTCCAAATTGTCCAAGTTTCATATTTTATTCACCTAAGCAACTTGCCCTCATAAGGTATTCCGCGTCGCTTAGGCGAACATCAGAAGATCAGTATTCACTGTGATCTGTCAACACATTTATTACCGTGTAGCCTGGTCGTCAGTAATCATTATTGGTACATAACCCACTGATGCTACAGATCGTATGATCATCGCTTTAAAGTTTCCGAGATCCCAAAGGCGAGGCTCTAATTTGAAAAACGCGTAACATATATAGTGCTGCTCGCGAAATGAAGTTTATACACAGATTTCAACTAATCCTAGTAACTTCTCATGTAATAGATATTGATTCAGCTTAAGGAGAACCTTGTACACACATAATTTGATCTCTGTAAAAGATGTTCTTTCCGTCTAATTTTCCCGAGCTAAGAAAAAAAGGGGCACTCGCGCCCCTGGCCCCCTCCCCTGGGTACACCCTTGGGTACTCTCATGAACTTTTATACCACGGTCAAAGAACGGCCATCAACCTCGAAAACATCAAGGAATCAAATGTGTTCTCGTATTAAAACGTTTTCACAACAACTGTGGGTAAAGGTACTTACGGGACCTTTTTACCATTGGCATAGTAATACTCGTAGTAGTCTTTTATAGTAAGTTAAAAGCTGTAGGACTACGGATCACCCAGCGTTTTCGAACAAAAAATATTTTAAAGGCGTTCACAATAATTAGAACCTCATTGATCCTTAATGTAAATTACACAACCTGCACACGCTGGCTGTAACAGAACTGCGCCTTTCGTCAGCCTCCAGTATACTGATGCTCGGTGTGCCGAGGATGCGCTGCCGTAAAATCCACGAGCCTGACATTTATTAGCGACAGTAACTTTACTGTCCCGTAGGTATACACACAAGTCGAAGCATTGCTCAATACTGACGAGTCGCCCCTGATCTTAACCAACGCTTGTCCCGTTTGTCGAAGCAACTTGGTACATTTAATTTCGTTGAGTGAGGTTTATGCGGCAGCGGCGAGCTATACACTGGATTTTTTCCGCGCTGTTTTGAGACCATTGATTTAATCCAAGATAGACGTAATTCCATTCAGCAAACCTTCTCAGAAGAGAAAGAAGTCACTAGTTCCAGTCGCTATAAAAGAAAATAGTGCTTCTCTAAAGCCACCACAGCCTTCGTGTAATTAAACTGATTGGATTGGGACAAGGATAGGATTCAAAAGCTACAAAATCATTTAATTTGTCTTCATTTTCAATGCAATAGTTATAATTCAACGGTAAGCACCAGGTTCATGCCTATTTTTAGTAACAAAAAAAATGAACTGTTATATTATGATAAGTATGACGTAGCTAAGGGGGCGGCGAGGGTGATTCCTTATCGGGTGACACCCGGTGATTCAACATCAAGAGCATTAAAACAAGGAATTGATAAAAAAGCTCCATCTTGTTCGTGATGTCGACCACATGCACTAGCTTGACTTTATGTTTGGTTCGGAAATTCCCTCAAAGACGTACGAAGCTGTTGTCTGGGAATTCCCTCTAGTCGCGACCTCATGACGCAACGTGCAACAAACGAAAACTGGCAACGTTTTTACGGCTATTCCACGGCTCTTATCAGTGTTATCGCAGACAGCGTCGGCTGACACGGCTGTGACAATGAATAGCCTCGTTCTGACATTCTGTCAATCACCCATGACCTTTACTTTACTGATACGGATACCTAAAAACTGAAGAATTGGATGAAGAACGTCTAGGATTTGACTGAGTTCAGCTAACGTGTCACGGGGCAGTCGAAACTCTGGTAAAGAGAAGGACTAGCAAACCCTTTATGAAGATCTGGATCGCGTACATTTAAAGAAGCATAACTTAATTCGATAGCACTTTTCTGAGACAAACACAAAACGATATCACATGAAAAACTTCTTATTAGACCCTATAATTTCATATGGAAGGTAATATAATAAGATATTGAAACGCAGGGCGTTCCAACGCACTTTTTCAGTGGTGCAACAAAAATCGAAAGGTTATTAGTCTTGATAGTTGTAAATAGATGGTTACAATTGTGAGAAAAAGTAATTTCAAACTTTTTTGAAGTTTTTCTGCTTTGATAGTGTAAACAAAAGCTTTGTTTCAGCTTAAGAAAGGATACATATTAAAAAAAAAACAGCTTAAGGCAGCACCAACGATGGACTACACCCAAGATTGTTGCTTGTCTGACACCTGTCCTGTAGATTTTTAGCATAGTGGTTTAAACAATAGCTTACTGGGGAACCATTTTTTGATCCGATTATGCTGTCATGTTTAAGTTACCCATCGGTTCTAAGCTTGTTCAAACGATTAAAGAATATCTGACACCAAATCTTCGTCGTAAAACGTATCGCTCTTGATTTGATCTATAAGCAGCCAGTGACTGGACATTAATGCATTGATAAACAATACAAACGTTTAACAGGACAGGTAGGCTCTAGTGTAAAGCATGCCAATATTTTTTTTACTTGCCTGCTGCTCAAAAGAAAAGTTCTTTACCGAAACAGGCGCGTAGTCAGAACCCTAAGCACCAGAGTTGCTATGAGGTGCTTGAAGAAACTATGTTAATCCGACTTCTGCCACTAGTCTTCTTTTTTCCAGCTGCCCGGTCGAGATCGGCTTGTCACTCTGACTTCCTGCATGAAGAGTGCTGTTATCAGCAAAGCTGTGGATCGGACATACAAAAAAGAAGAACGTTGATATGTGAGAGGAACAAAGTGGGAATCAAGGCCGATCCCTGGGGAACACCCGCGTTGACATTGTGAGATGAAGAGGAGAATTCGTCCATCACGACGGCTATCTTGCATTAGTCACCGTCAACCGTCGGATCCTGAGACTACCATACTATGTTGCACTGTGATCGTCAAATTCACTGTAATACCAAGTACTAGCTAAAGCTCATACCTAAACGTATGAGGTACTTTTATTTCATATTGCAGATCGTACATATACAAAGATTAACCTGAAATCTGTTCATTCTGCTTCTCTGTAGTCTGTTTTACAACTATTACAGTTCATCAGCAGAAAAACTTCTACACTGGGATGTTCATGCTGCCTTTCTTCCTACCGGTCACCACATTCTTGACCTCGTCAATAACCAGAGACATTCAAATCGCGAAGAAAATAACTTTCACCGCAGCTCTATTTTGGAGCCTTCCAATGAATTCGATGTCAGAATCTCTGGAGAAGCCCCATAGTTGACTCAACAGTAGATCGACAGCGATCTTTAGGACATGTTTTTTTTATGGAGGAATATCCTTCAGGATCAACCCAAAAATCAATAATAATGATTAATAAACTTGACATGAGAAGACAGCAAAATAACGCACTCCACTGAAATCTTATCACACCAATCACAACCAATAAAAGTACCAAAAAGGATTACGAGATTTTTCAAGCGGATCAGCACCGAATATATGCGAATCATTTGTATAAACAAGCGGTTATAAATAATATGTCGCAGCATTATTATTCACTTGTTTTTTCTTGCTTCTTTTCTCGCGGTGCAAAATCCGCGCATCTGAAATGTAATCCTTATTAAGAATGTAAAGTCGCAAGCGCGCATCGTGGTTCGAAGCTGAAATGCGGGATTTTAATCCTGCGGGAAGTCATTATCAACAGATATTTATGTTTCAGGTGTTATCCTGAGTGTCTTCGGCATTAATTTTGTTTCGCAAATACCGGCGCTGTTAAAGAATCAAATAAAACGAGCAGTGTATGCAGAGATGACTTTTTGGAAACTTACTTTTTTGAAATATGGATTCAGTGTTTCAGAAATGAAAATTAAGGCAGCTAACAATAGGCGCATCCATACTTCTTGGTTTAAATGTACCTCACCGTATTTAAATGGAACGGAATGTTGGGGCATGTATCAATTTCTTTGAAAACATGGCGTCAACAAGATTGACACACTTCCGACGCCTGCAAAACGGCTTCCAGTACAATTTTCCATGTAGTGCGAGTATTCATAAAAAATCGTTCGCACACTGGCTAGCGCGATATCTTCTAGAGTATGGCAAGATACGCGCAGTTGCGTGTAACGTGTTTTGCTGCTCTCTCCCTTTTCACTACCAGGGTATAGCGAGCGAGCCAGTGGGACAAAAAAATAGGGTAGTAGTCTGGCAATCTAGATTTTTGTTTGACGCATTCCCTTTCATTGTTGCACCAAACGTCGTGACATCAGGAATGGGAAACCACTTAAAATCGAAAGTGATTTTTGTCTTCCTGACAAGCCCATAAGTTGCAAATATACGTTTTTGCCAACATGATTGGTTTATTGGTTTTTTGTGAATGTATAATTGAAAATGGAATTAAAATGAGTATAAAGTATAATCGATCGAACAAGAGCTAAGAATTTTGTTCTCTGTAGCATGAGGTCATATAGCACCATGTGCGGTTTGTAGAATGTGTGTCCGAATAGGACAAAATGATTGGGGCCACCCCCTTTCTCTTTCCCTTTCCCTTTGCATTTGTCTTTGACTTTTGCATTTGTCTTTGACTTTGCTTTTGCCTTTGTCTTTGACTTTGCATTGCTTGGCCTATCACTTCACCCATGCATGTGCCTTGGCAGCGCTATCACCTTTAAGTTCAACTTCGCCTACAACTGGTTTTGAAGCCACTATATGTGAGGTCACCCCTCATAACTGGGACCTCCACTTCAAGCACCTGGCCATCCTCGCTTCAGTCCAGTCAAAATGGACCAGCGAAAGATAAGTGTATAGTTTTATAGCAGCGCCAAAGATTTAAAACTTATTTTGTTGTTTAAAATTTAAAATTGTAATGTAATGAAAATGCTTTTTTGTTAATACGGATTTCAAGTATGAGCGCCACTTTTCACTTGAAAACTGCACATCAGTTTCACCTCAGACACTCTTGGTCAGTCTGTCACTACGCCGCCATTATGCTTCAAGCCTCTGTCTGTGTTTGGTTATGTGGTTATGCTGCTTTGTTCATCACCACGTGAATCAGTAAGCTAGCTAGTCGTGAAGTTGGCTCAGTGATTCTATTTCTAAATGCAATAAACGTTCCTTCTGCTGAAATTCACTAGCAACCTGTTCGATCAGGCTGCGGTTACTGTGAACGCGAATTCTAAGGAAATTTTGTTTTGACCAATTCATCCAAATAGACAAACACGCTTTCCAATGATCGTGCTTATTCTGGTAGCAACCAGCACGTCAGCGTATGCACGAAGAATTGAAAGAGAAACATTGTCAACAGTGACATTTCTTTGTCATCTCTACTAGAAAATATAGGATTTACATGCTATTGTCCAGCATTTAACAACAGCAACTTCAGTAAAAGACTTTTAAGAAACCAAAATTCGTCAACTCCGTTCATATTTGCTGGGTAGCAGGAACGTACCAAAATGTCAAACAGCACGCTCAGGCTCGCCTTATTCTGTACTCGTCAGAACCAAATTTTCTCAGAATTTGTATCTATAGCAGCCGTAGCCTTTGGCACGTTGTGACAAGAATACAGACGTAACTGGACAAGCTTCGTTGAAAATTACTGGATCATCTACCATACAGCTCTGACTTGGCACCATTAGACGTTTATCTTCTTCCCAAAGTTTAGCAATTCGTTGGTGAAGGCGTTTGGAAAATGATGATCCAGAAGCTGTTGCCACAACTTGACAAAGGTTTAAAAGTTTATGGTGACTTACAAAACTTACTCACAAAACGGTTAACCAAAAGCTGCGGCAATCATATATATTTCTTCAACATCTTTCAAAACTGGCGTGTCTTCAATACCACAGACACTTACTCACCATCCTCGCATCTCTTCCTAGAAAAGAAAGTTCATGATTACAATAGCGCACCATTTTGGCAATAAGGTGACGTATCCGCATAGATACCAATCATACCAATTTACTATTTTTGAGTGACAGCATGAGGTCGGTCGGATACATTGTAACCAGACACAATAATTCAGCCTAATGAAATGAAGCGCTTTCATGTAAATTTTTGTGAAATAAATGATAGGTACTGAAAGGTTGGATGACGACGTCGATCAACGACCTCCCAAAATTGTTATGAACGCCACCCACAAGGTGAGATGCTTACTGGAAATAATAGTATCGAGTAGGTGTGGGAGAATATAGTATGGTCGACTTTTCTTGGAACTCTTGGAAGACTAATGTGGGTCGAATGATATTATTTGAGTCTGTGCCTATACAGTAAGTCTGTTATGGAGCTTTGAGTTTACGATTATAGGAAGCAGTTCAGCTAAAACATTTTAAAGTAGTGGTGCTCTACCGGAAGTAGATACCATTTTTTTTTAAACAGAGCACCCTGTATATTGTTTTAATTTTGAGTTCTATGCAAGATTTTGAGCATATGTTATGTGGCTGATAACAATTTCTTCTCGCAGTGTTGTATTTGATTCGGAACGGGCTTATTATAGATTCTTTAGCTGATTTTTTTCTGGACTTGAGTAACGAATAGTTCAGGGTGGTCAAAAAATAGAATGACAATTAAATTTTAGAAAAACCAGGAAGTCATCTTTTTTAAACGTGCTAAACATTCATGCTCCACCAACAAAACTGCAGAGACAACGTTTTTAAAACATTCTACACCGTTTTCTGCCAAAATCAATCAAAAGGGTTTTATTGCAAGAACGTTAACATTTTTGTTCCGAATTGACAGATGCGGATGATGAGTTTGCGCTTCCTGTCTGAGACAAATTCAAGCTCAGTTGGAACGAAAATTGCAAATATCAACCGCTTCAAACTTGAGATTTATAGAAATGAAGTACTTTAGTGCGTTCTTCATCAATTTTATACTCACACCACGTTTCTTATGTAATACAATCCGTATGTGTAAGGATATACATATGTAAGTAAAATTAGTAAAGTTAAATCGGTCGGTAAGTTGATGATATACGGAATTACACTAATGATTTTAAGATTTATTATTCGTTAGTTTTGTCATTTTTCACTTTGTTGTTGCTGTGCTATTCTGATTTCTTTACTGTCAGTTTGAAGCTAGCATGCGTATATCGTTTTGAAAAACTAAATGTAATTTTATTATACGCGATCAAAAATATTCGTAGTTCAGATGCTTACCTAGTCAAATTGTACGTAATTGAAACATCCATCAATTTCCATAATTCACGAAGGGTTGAATCAATTTATCAATAATTGGAACTCTGTTTGCCTCTGCGAAAACATGACATTTAGAGATGCGATCTTCGCAGACAGGCATGTCAATCTGACTGAAGTTATATCCCATACTGTATGGAGTATATATGCCTTGCCAATACAAAAAAATCTATAATACCTGATACAGCTTATTCGATCCCTAATTCGACCTATCCTTATTGGAAGATCATTTACATTCAAGAAGAGTTTTCTACGTGATATGAGTATAATTACATAATGTATATTCATAAGTCTATTTGTAATATTGGCAAAATAAGCCTCATTCTGAGGACCTTTTCATTACCTATAACACTTTGGAAAACCTTAGCAGTTATCAACAATGGTGAGTTCTTAAATATGAGATTATTCATACTTTGATCTCCAATCAAAAAGTTACGATATACTATACAGGGTGGCCATGAACGCAAAATTCTCAAATGGAGCAACCTGTATACTCTCACACCTTCTGCTTCTCCTTTTCGCAAGCTTTTTTCGATATAAGGTTTATTGGAGTTTGTACGAATGATTTTTGAGTTACAGTTAACGTTTTTGTAAGTCGAATATCAAGGCAAATGAAAAATATTACAATACTTTCAAAAAAAACAATAGCATCCAGTTAGTAACAGCAAATACGAGCCCCTTCACACTTCAGTTGGCCCAACTATTGAAATCTTAGTTTTTTCTTATCAAACACAAATAATACAAATGTAGCAGGGTGATATAGGTTTAAAATATTAACAATGAATATTTTGATAATATATAGTAGAAAACACCAACTTTATCACTCCCTTTGCAGCATAAAAATAACACATGTTGCAATTACAGCATATCACCCTATTTTCATTTCAATGCAAAATAAGTCTATATAACATAGGTGGCTGTGAAAAATAAAAGCCATGACAATTGTTTTTATTAATCATAGCTGTCAGAATACGTTTAAAATAGTTTTGTGTAGTTAAGGTTTTCAAAATGCGTAGAGGAAAGGTTATTAGTGAGAAAATTCGGGTACTGATAATTAAGTTTTTTAATTCTGGGAAATCAAACTCAGAAATTGCCGCTTTGTTAGACTTATCACGGTACAGTGTGAGAAACATTGTTAGAAGATGTAACGTTACTGGTTCAGCTAATATTAAGCCACGATATGTGAAAAAAAGTAATATCACAAATGCCGACCGAAGAGCATTAAGAAGAATAATCGTGAAAAACAGGCGTGCCAATTATTTACAATTAAGTGCTCTGTGGAGTGACGCTGTTGGAAGAAGAATTTCTAGGTCCACAGCTCATAGAGAGGCCCACAAACTGGGATTTATCACTTGCAGGGTAAGTTTTCTTATAAGAAAAAGTGAAGTAGAGACCCTAAAGTTGCACAACTTGTTTATAGGCCAAAGAAAAGCCACTATTAACTCCCCTGCAAAAGAAAAATCGGCTTAGATGGGCTAAAGAACATAGACAATGGATACCTCAACAATGTTGTGCAATACAATGGAGTGATGAGGCCCGATTCGAAGTTTGTGTTGGTGACAGTCGCAATAGAGTTATTCGCAAGAAAAATGAAGCATTCCATGTTGACTGTCTGAAGAGAAAAGTGAAATTTCCAGCATCCATTATGGGCTGGGGCAGTATGTCATCAAAAGCACTAGGAAAACTTCATTTTATTGATGGAAATGTGGATACAAATAAATATTTGGCAATTTTAGAAGAATCGCTTTTACCAGTGATAAAGAATATTTGACATCCGGCCAAGATTTTGTGTTTCAGCAAGATGGTGCAGCGTGCCATACCCCAAAAAAGGCTATGGAAGAAAATAATGTACCACTTTTGAAATGGATTTCTAGCAGTCCAGATCTGTCACATATTGAAACTTTGTGCACGAGATGAAAAAGGTTCTACGACAACATCCAGCTCGTAAAATCACCGAACTGAGACAAAAGGTTCAAGAAATATGGGATTGTTTTAGACCAAATTTTTGACAAAATTTGGTTAACACTATGCCCCAAAGAATTCCAGCCGTAATAAAAGATAAAGGTGAGTTTACCCAATGGTAATCTTTCAATTGTTGCTTTGTTAACTTCGGGAATTTATTCGCACATTGTTTATTTGTTCAGATGTTTGTTCTATTAGTTACAGGTCTAAGTGATTTCAAATATGTATTTTTTACGAGTAGAGTGTATCTAAAATGTTTTTGAGAAAATAAATTCTTTTAGAAGTAAATAGTTTCGTCATGTTTAGTGTATAAAGGTATATATTGGTACAAATCTTGAAGTGGGAAGAAGCTAGTTAAAACTTGTGTGTTCCATTATTAATTAAATCTACCTAACTTTATACAATGAAGTCGTTAAGTCAACTAGGTGACAAAGTATTTTAAGCCACTCAAAAACTACTTGTACCAACCACCATAAGATTTATCTCAGAAAAAATGTCAAAATATACATGGTGTTCCATTTAATAGTTTTGAGAAATCGTTAACTTTACGTTCTTGACCACCCTGTATAAACCATACCAAACCATTGAAAAATCAAGTAGATAGTGGGGAAATATGGGATCATGAAGTTCTTCTCACGAAAAATTCAGTACTCTAGGTGTAATAGTTGCGGAGGTACGGGTGGCCAAAGTTGAGTGTTTCTTCTTTCGATAGACAAATTGCTTCGTTTGGAAGGCCCTATCCGAATCTGTAATAAAATGTAAGTCTTCCCATTAAAAAATGTATGTTTGGGTCGCCACGTAATTATGAATCACACTGTAAAAAATGTTGGCCAAAATTTTTGTGATGAGCTTTTTGGATACCATAGGTGATAACAAAGTTATCTTCGCGCCCCCACTAAAAGCTCACCCTGAATATGCGATGAGTGAAAGAAAGCCTTTTCTAATAATGAAAGAAGACGGATGAAGCTGCGTTTCACCATCGACTGTCTATTTCCTTTATTGCTATTAACAGCTGTTGGGACGTCTTTATGTATTATTCGTTTTGTGTAAACGTAAAGCGATTGGTGAGTATCCAACGGTTGTTTTGTATCGTTGACGAAGTTAGAGAATACAATAACAGCACTACGGGATATATTACGAGACCACACTTATCAATGGTGCACGGATAAAGAGAGACAGTCAAGGGCATGTGGTATACTTTTAAATAGTAATTCTGATTGTTGCCAAAGAAGATACCTTTATCAGGCCTTATAGCTTTGATATATTAAAATAGCATGAGAAGAGATATACAACAAATAGCGCCAAGTAGATTGACCCAGTACTTTCCATGTAATTCTGGATTAATGAACTTTGTATATGTCTCATACATAGTATCTGAGTCATCTCTTGTCCGCTCTGGTATCTTTATTGCTTGCTGGCTATGAAAATAATTGTATCCTCGCATAAGGACGTAAAACAGAAACAATAAACAAAAACATAGTTTTCGCAAAAATGAAAAATATGGGCTTTGAATACGCATCATAGTATCTAAATCAACTCTTTCTTACGCATCGATTCGTTATTTTTGGTAGTCACGATTGTTACATCGTCCAGGCATCCTTGACATTTTCTCACCCGCTCAGGTAACTTCGTCGCGTGAGTCTCAAAAGCTACACCTCCCACAATTCTCACCCCCTAATTTATTACCCCTAAAAATTTTTCAAAATATGTTGGTTCCTCTGAAACATGAGAAAACGAAGTGTGTGCGATTTTTTTTCGTCTTTAGCATTTATCTCTGGGCCTTATTGCATAAACTACAAAACCTTTTCGCCCTTAAAATAGCGGTAACTCTGTGTAAAAAATTCCATGAGAATTTGAAAGGTACTTTCCAACTTACAAATGAAACGGGCCAAAGATCAGCGGACAAACCGGCAGACAGACCGACAGTCGAGAAGAACGTCATATGTTATTCGAAAACATGATATCTTACTTACTCAGCTTACAATGATGTCACCTCGTAGATCCTGACTAGTCTTAGGAGCAGAACGACTAAAAGAACGGCGCTGCAACAAAAGAAAAGCTCATCAACCATTATTAGCGAAGTAAAAGTGTTATGACAGCAGATTAGGTTGACGTAATGGGATTAATTTACAATAACATTAGTCATCTAAATTTTCGCATTCCAAACTTTTTCCTGGTTATTCATGCAAGAAACTAGGCAAAAACGGTAATGTAATTTAATGCAGACTTTTACGTGGCTCTAGGTTGCTCAGCTTCTAGTTACCTACTGCCCTGTTAGCCATGTCACAGTTTGCACGGTTTATATTTCATCTACGATTGTGACTAATCTCTCTACATGTCATATTCCATGTTATTATTCCTGTGATATCTACCCATTCAATAAATGCATTGCTTTAACAATTTAGCAACTGTGTCAGTTTTTACCAGTTTTAAATAAATTCCACCGACGTTTTGATATATGCCTGCGAGCCTGCATTGCACACAGTTTATATGGTAATTTGTCATAATTTCGAGTATATTTGTGACACGTATATTTTTGAGTAATGTACGACACCGGCTATCACGGATAATGTTTAGCATGATGTAAATATTACAGCCAATATTTCTGATGGGACGTGAATTTAGAATCAGTGTTATCGATGATCTACATGGTATGACAACATATTTTGTGTAATTATGGTATTGAGGTATATGGGGCAGCCAATTTATGTATCAGTTAAGGTTTATGAAGAACAACGAATGATAACTCTGATAAAAAATATTACCTTAAATTGTCTTGTGTTTCTAAGAAATGTTTGGTTAGTTTGAGATCCCCACTTGGAGAAGTTTGACAACTAGCAAAAGGAATTGCAATGCTCAAATCAACAAAAAACTGTTTTTCTCATAATCCTTCGCTTCATGGAAACTAGACAGGAGAGTACATCATTTCAACTGAACGATTAGGCTTTCCAAAAATTTCATCATATAACCACTATTACATAAGATTAAAAAATGGCGTCAAGTAAAATTGCATTTATATCTATCAATACGGTTTCATAAAGTTTCAATCAACCATTAGCAACTTAGCGGTTTTTAGCCAGCTTCTATGTGAAACAGTGGACAGCAGGGGTGATGTAATGTACGACTTTTCCAAAGCTTTTGACAAGATCAATCATGAGATTCTCCTCAAGGATCTTTGATTACTAGGTTTACAAAATAATTATTTCTTACTATTAAAATCATATTTATCTAATAGACAACAATATGTATGTGTGAATAATGTGAGATCGGAAGTATTCACTGCGTCTAGCGGTGTGCCGCAGGGATCCAATTTGGGACCTCTTCTATTCTCAGTGTATATCGATGATTTGTGTGATTCACTTAATTGCAATAAGCTATCGTTTGCGGATGATTTAAAAGTATATATATATATATACATGCATCCAGTGAAGAGGACTGTATCATCTTAGATGAATAAATCACTTTCCTACAGAACTGGTGTGTAAGAAATCATCTGCACTTGAACATATCTAAATACAAAGTAGTAACATTCAGTCGCAAGTCCAAGCCTATATCTTATCGGTACACTATTAAGAATCCGACACTAGGAAGAACCGATTGCATTAGAGATTTAGGTGTCTGTTTTGATAATCAGATGACATTTAATTTTCATATGAGCGAAACAGCGCTGAGTGCTTGCCGCACATACGGTTTTATTGTTAGGAATTGCAAGAATTTCAATGACACCTCAGCATTATCATCTCTGTATTTCAGTCTCGTAAGATCCAAACTAGAATATGGCTCACTCATATGGAGTCCTATATATATCGTTGCTATTGAAAAAGCACAAAAGCAATTTTTTAAATTAGCTTTTAAAATCGATGGTGTATATCCACCAAGAGGCTGTAATTATCCTGAGCTACTACATAGATAGCAAACCTATGATTGATTTTGGTGGAGTTTTTAATATTTCTTCTATTTCTGTTTTTTCGTTTTGTTTTTCTAAGATATTTTCATTTTGTGCTGTAACTACCACGTAAGCTATACTACTGCTTTTTGCTCTGTGAATGGTATTCACTGTTGGACAATAAACGCATTACTATTATTATTATTATTATCAGTTCATAAAGGATTCAGCACAAGTTAAATCCTCTTATGAACATGTACAGTAGAGACATCAAACGGATCAAATCAGTCAAACGATCGATTTTTTTCCTAGCCTACCGGCATTTACCGTCCATCTGACAAGGTTGCCCCTTTCGCACGACACGTCACATGCGGGAGCGCCCACAGCAGCCTTGCTGCAGGGTGGGTAGAACAGTCAATCAGAACGGTACGTCGGGCGGTAAGCAGGAGATGCATATCGAATGCATTTCTCTAATATTCTAAGTCTTACATGCCAATGTGAGGGGAAATCTATGATGTGAATGTGCGTATTAGGTATTTAGAATTATCAGAAGCGTATAGTTATACTAGCAACAAAAAACTAACCCCACTAGAAATTTTTCTGAAGATGATCAGGGGCATCGGAAATGTTAAAAGCCAAAGTTTAGGTTATACTCGTAGATGGGCCAAGCACAAGCGGACAAACAGACTGAAAGACGGAAATAAGTGACATTGTTTCCTTGATTACAATACTTCCTGGAAGTAGCGTATAAGGTAAGGAGGGCAAAATTCTGACCCAAAATACTGCATGTCTTAATCGTAATATTGTATGTAACTGCATTTGCTGCCAAAACGTAAAAAGCGAAGGCCATGAAGAAAGATCTATAGATAAGATGGCAATCTGCTCATTTGACCAAAACGATCGCAAAAACTAATTAAAATCGAATGCAAATAATGAGTCTGCAACTTGTCCTGTTCAGTTTTTATGGACTCCGTTTAAGTTGGGTGTTCTTTGTAGCACAGAGGCAGGATGTATTGGATTAAGTGAACATAGTCACCAACCTTTTACTTCTTACGCATAATCGCGAAAAAATTTGAAAATGGGATATTATGTTCATTGGATGTTGTGTTACATGCGCATATCAAAGAATGCACTCTGTCAGTCTATCTATCTGTCGGTCTGTCTCTCTGCTATAACTTGAGAAGTCCCGCTGATGTGGTACAAGGTTACTATGGCAAGTGCGAAAATATTGCATAGTTTTTAAAAATATGTTCAGTGGAGGCGGAGATAGGGGTAAAAACACAAAAAAAAATAATTCAGAGGCTCCTGATCGTTTTCAGAAATTTTTCGTTGGTGCTAAAAATTGGGGGCTGAGGGTTATAAGATGATGGTATATCCCAATATATATTTATACGTCTAGTGTTATTTTTTAAAAGTGCGAGTGTTTGCAGATACTCGTGGTGTTAGGCGATTTCAGGACATTGTACTTCTTGGGTAATTTGCAAAGAGCGGTATAATCCTAAATATTATTTTTTGATACAACGTTGTCACTTTGGTGGGCAATGGTAGTTCAGTATAAACATATATTCTTGGCTGATGCTAGTACATTCAAATTCGCTGAATCAAACCTAATTTACCTGTTTCAAAACAAACATGAGCACCTCGTCGTGGCTTCTATTTACTTGTCGCTGCCTGCCCAGGCATCTTTGGCCCGCTGGACGATAGTAGTGCTGGTTTTTCGTGCATTGCATTGCCTAGTACCAAAGAGCTGCGACCGCTGTAAAGAGGACAGTGACAAAGATTCTGAGCGGTCTAAAGCTCGATGAACAGAGATCGACAAGACGAGTCCGTCTGGAGGATCTAATGTGAAATTCAAGTACCTTCTACATGTATTTTCTAATGAACTTAAAGCTGAAGTGTAACCGGCGCCCCTGGAAATCCTCATCGATGCAAATTAAGATGTCGTCAGTTGGCAGGTGTGAAATTTGTAAGAACGTTTGTGCATAATGACACTGGCATGAGTTACGACGAATGCGTTTAATGAGCTTGCGGGAGATAAACTGCGTTTTACGTCCAAATGTTGCGCTCCTCGTGGATTTACGGCATTATTGGAGACGCGCAAAAAGAAGGAGAACAGCCAAGGTCAACGATGAGCAAGGCGAAGAGCGAGAATAACGCCTGATTTGATGACAAAAAGTGAAATACCACCTCTCACGTATATACAGGGTGCTCTGAAAGTTGCGTTCTTTCTTCTTAGGAACAACTACGTATGAAATGATAAAGCGCTGTCCATTTGAGGATAAATATCTATGATCGCTCTGAAGATGATGCATATAAACACTGATCAAAGTTGACTCCATTCTATTCCACAGGTACGAGTCTGTACTAGTGGGTTGCAAGGTTTGACGTTGTCTAGGACATCCAGTATCCAACCTCAAGGTTCCTGCGACCAACTTTTTTGTCTAGCTTTTTTTATGGGACAAACGTAGACGTAATAGGATGGAAACATCCGGGGAAACTGTATGCATATGCTCGCGATGCCCCAACAACATTTCGAAAACTCTCACTGCAATCAAAACAAGTCCGTTATTGCTATGGGAGTATGTCATTCCCGATTTTGTCAAATCCGAATTGTAAACAAACAGCTCGGTTCATTTACAGAACGCGAGGGGCTGAATACTGATGTTTATCATAACTTCTCAGCTTCTCACCTAAGCATTGTCTAAAGGCAGGGACTGGATTTGATATGCAGATCTTTTCGTAATCAAAGCATCTCCGTTATTTTAAGTTATTGGTACACGTCTAATAAGAACAATATTCGTACTTTTAAAAGATCTATACGCAATCTGAAAGACAATCCTGAATTTAAGGGCTCACTGTAGAATCAGGATTACTAGGATCTGCCTGCTTTTCATCTCTGTGGACATAGTCAACCGTATACAATATGTTATCTGACAATTATTTGTGGATACGGATTAGTGCGTGTTAACTCATGAGACTGAAGAAGTTAGCACCAAAACTGTCCCATGAACAACAGCAAGCGATAGTGGCCTAAATCTAGTATCAGAAGAACAGTATAAGGTGCTTTGTTTTATTGAAATTCTGAAAATTTGAAGCTCTCACATTAATTTCTGGCTATTATCAAGCCAAGTCGCGAGGTCTCAAACCGACAACGCAAAAAGCTTGTGGTTGAGATGCTAAGCTAGGTGCCCAGAACTGTAACATCGTCAAAACAAAAAAAGTTGCGATAGAGAGCTATTTGTACGATAGGGATACCTAAGCTCCTATTTGCTATTATTAGCAAGACACAAAAGAGTCACGTCTTGCATTCACATATATGCACATATCTCATCCAATTATACCTCCTTTTTCTATCGAGCGCAGCGGCAGCAACGATTTAACGTCCGTAGCATGGATATAAAATTTCAGAAGAAATGCCCAACAGCTTCAGTGTGAAGCCCATAAAGGCGACTCGACTGCGAGCTGGAACGTTCGATTTTTAATTACCCCCCGCTAGCGTTAATTTCTTGCATATATTCAGGTGAATTTTTGAGAATGTAGATACAGCATGGAGCAACGCCTTGTTGCCATATTTGTATTTCTTGAGAAGGATTTCGTACTGAATCTGGAGACTTTTCGTATGTACGTACATCGGGTCACTATTGGTAATTATCAGGAAAGTATCCATAAAGGACCCGAATTTAAACCAATATGGAAAATAGCTGAAAGTATAATCTAAAAGTGTGACTTTGTAAATCCTGAATTCACATCCCTGAGTTGACAAACGGGCACCAAAACATGACCCGTAGTAAAAATTGTCTGAAATCAATTAAAATTACAGGGTGACTTCGAAGTTGAGTCATTTATCTATTTATATGTCAGTGAGTAGATCTGATCAAAAGAAAAAATTAAAGTAACAAAGTTATAGCCCTTTGGAAGTTTGAGTACCGCCCTGTCTCAATAATAATATCATGTGCTCGTGTTTGGCAACAACGGATATAATCCGCCTTATCGGTTCATCGCATCGGAAACAAAAAAGCGAAAGAATTTGGAACGATGTTTTTACAATTATTTTATTCAGTTCAGTTATACATACAGTTAGTGTCAGTCGGTAACGCGTGTGAATAGTGTCTGTTGCGTGGCTCAAACGAAATAAAAAATGGCACATGTTTATGCGGATCGGTTTCCCAATCGAGTGCAACCAACCCCTCGTGCCTTTGTTAATGTAGTACAACGGGCTCGTGAATCAGGTGACTTAAGACCTCACAGGGGACCTCACGATCAGATACAGGTCCGCACTGAATACTTGTCGGGAGGATACTTTATAAACAAGGTAAAAAAATTTTTTTAATTTTTTTTTATTTTTACACCCATATTTTGGTTTATCTTCCTTCTACAATCATTATCTGGAAATTAATGAGTCAACTTCAAAGTCACCCTGTATATACTTAAATAATACAAAGTACATTTTAAAACAGTTAAATATATATTATTACGAACGCTTGGGAACCTTTTGATGTAACTCAATATTTTTTTCTCAAAAACTGCCCAAGAAGTCTTTATAGAAGACAAAAATTTAGGCAACTAAATATCTGCTAAATAAAAAAGTCACAGTCGTCGGGAAAGTTGCCAAAAAATTCTGCTATAATTTATATAGGCGTGGGGGTAGTTTTCACCCATTAGACTTTATCGTGAAAGCCAAATATTAGAACGCCTAGCAAAACACATTTGTTTCAAATTTCTTTCAAACCGGACTATCGGTTCCAAGAATATCTGTAACAATGTGTATTAAAAAGAAACTTTGACGCCCTCCAGCGGACAAATGAAGCCTTTACATATAGGTAAGTTCAGCCCAATCCACTAATTTTGAGTCTAAGGATACGTTGTACTTCTACGTCCACGTATTATTGAGATTATGTAAACATCAAAAAGTCGGCTTTTGAGTGAAACCATTTTTAAACAGCATTTGTCTCACAATCCGAAGATCGAGACTAACGGCACGTTTGAGCTCCTGGGTTAAGAACTAGCTCCTGTCATATCCTAAGACCTCTGTGGTGTTCTTCCATCCAGTCGTGGCAACCTTGTACCTTGTGTGCAGAACAGAGCGCACCAACGCGCAATAAATTTTACGTGATTGGTTAATAAAGGATGCCAATTCCGATAATTAACAGATCTCTGTTCTGTCTGTACTTGACTATGCACTGCCAGCTGAGAAAATTTGCTTTTTTCAATCTAGGAAGCGATATATTACCCGTTTTGACAGTCCGGATGTATGTTTCGGGAGATCTTACTTAAAGATAGTTAATTTTATGCATATTCACAGCGCAGACGATTTTATGGGGCATTATTTTATTTATTAATAATTGAAGAAATTATAAATTTTAATTGAGCATAACTATGTGAAGATTGTTCGAGGAAAATGTAATAGGCAATGAGCACCGCATAACTGATGTTGAAGCTACGTGTATCCGATGCTGAACTGTCCGAGAAAATGTCACACATATTTAATGCATAAGAAAGATATGATTTATAAATAAGCATCTTTATTTAGAAATTTCACCTATAGACCCTGTCACATCCTCCTGGAGTTGTGAAGGTGGACATGCCAGCGTGGCTAAGTTTTCCAGCAGGTGCCTGGCAGGTACGAGTATATCTATAGTCAACGCCAAACAAAGTGGCGTGCACGTCATCAAGGTGGGTGTGTTGAAAAATTTACATTGTTGCCAAACTTTTTGTAAAATAATAAAATTTATTATTTACATATCTAGGTTTACAAGCAATATTAACCTCAAATGAGAACAAAAATAATAGTATAATAAAATTATAGATCTGTACTTGCATAATCATTAATTATGACAATTATTGATCAGATGACACTATGAAACTACCATATTTAATTGATAGCTTAAAGGTACTGAATAAAAATCCAAATGGGGTCCTCCAAATTTTATGCATGGTATTTATTTTACAGAATTCATACAGAAAAATTCATTCTAAAATTAGGTAAGCTACTGGTGTAAGCTTTTTCTGTACAATAAAGTTAGTCGGAGTTTCTTTCTTCAGCGCTGTCTGAATCTGAATCTTCATCACTCTCAAAGTTGATTATTAAAGGTTCGATGTCTGGTCGATCAAAAATTCGTTCTCTTTCATACCATTTAAAAATTTCTTGCTCAGTATGTCGAACACTATTTTTCCACATGTCTGGGGTAACCGTTTGTAGAGCCTCGTTCCACATATCCAAACAGTCTTTTTCACTGTTACCATCTCTACCAATATGTCTGTTATAGTAACCTTTTGCTATGCCCCAAATTAACTCAATAGGGTTAAATATACAATGGTAAGGAGGCAGACGAAGAACTTTGTGCCCATGTTGTTCGGCCAATTCATCAATCACGTATATTTTAGGTGGTTTGTTTCTAAAAAAGCAGTTATTTTAAGAATAGGAATAAACAAAAGAAATATAAACTGTCGACCAAAATATATATAATTAAGAAGCATTATGTACCGAGCAACAATACTCAATAGCTCTGTTTTAAACATTGTGTTTAAAAATGGTATGTTTTGATTTGTCAACCAGTCTTGGATATTTTTTTTTGTCCATGCATTGTTGGGCACTTTGTTCAATATCATGCTGTGATAAGGGGCGTTATCCAGTATAATCATAGATGACTCTCCAATTTTTCTAATAACTGATGTCGAAACCATTTCAAAAAAAAAAATTGTCCTGGTTCATCTCTCCATGGTAATCGCTCAATTTTGTTTTCGAAGAAAATATCG